TGTATATAAAAATCTACAAATATCTGTTAATTCTCTCGATAAGCGACCTGTTGCTTGGCCTTTGTATTCTGTTGCTACATATGTACGGTAGGCTCCTCTCAAAACTGAACACAGTTACAGATCTCGGCATAACATACTCAGATTTAACCTTTTCCGATCATGCAAATAAAGTAGTATCTAACTGTAAATGACTTGCTTGCTTTGTACTGCGTAACGTTTACACCCAATAAGCAAGATTAGCTATATACAAGGCATGTATTCGCCCCAAACTTGAATATTGTGCTCTCCTATATAGTAAACTAAGGTCTGCAGACCGAAAAAGTCGAAAGTGTCCAGAGATTCCTCAAAAAACACATAATAGGGTTTGACCCGAGTAACTCATCCATAACGTGGGCAAATATCAAATCGTATCAGCTGCGAAACCACGATTGCCTTCTCAAGGTGGTTACCCACAGAAAATCCATTAGAGCGAAGTTTTCACCATTAAATATTTCACTCTTTGGAACCAACTATCATCTGAAATTGAATGTTGTGAAAAAACCGGATGAGTTCAAACGGAGCCCAGAAAGACACATTGACATGTCCATCACAGCTCGTCAAAAAGACCAAAACTTTTGGTAGAATGGTAAATGAAAGTTAGTGCAGTCTTCAATAAAGTGACTTATGGATAACTTGACTCTCCTATTTAACGCAGCGAAAGTTTAACTAATTTGCTGATTTTCTATTCTCTATAATCTTCACTAAGTTGTGTTGGTATAAGTAACTCTGGAAGCAATTATTTTGGCAACCACACCTTTTAATAATATATATAATTATTAATACGCTGCTATTTTCTGTGTTGTAATGAATTTACTCAGTCAATAACTACCTTTTCTTGTATGCGTTTCTAAAATGTACAATTCTACAACATTTCGCAGTATTTTTAACATAAGTTGAAAACTTACTTTGCAATGTCTGACTCATACCATACGAAAATCATGAAAATTTAGCATAACTAGTTCTGTTAAACAGCTGTTTTCTTCAGGGTCATTCTACATAATTGTATCACTAATTGTTCCATTACCAAGTTCACTCTGCTAAATAGACTATAACTGAGTTGCTGTAATACTATCTACTTCTACACTTTATAATTCTTAAAGTAAACTCAATTTCCTAGGCTCTTGAAACAAATACTTGTATACATGTTTGCATGTATAAAGGTGATACTGCCTAGAATGTCCTCAGGTATCGAAGTATCTGGTGACCTAATGGGAATTGCTTGTCACGAAAGCTATTAATTTACAGCGTACTGTATGATTGGGACGGGCTCAAAGCAATGCAGTGCTGCAACTACATTTATTACCAAAAATCTCAGAGCTTAACATCAAAAAGGAGGGCAGATGTGGTAGTTGTCACGAATGTGAATCGCTCCGATCTGTGGGACAGCAATATGCGTTTTTTGACAGCTCAAGTATTAAAAATTAGTCCATATTCTTAACAAAAAAGAAAGATTAAGGGCTGTACAGATCTAAATTATAACAAAATGCTTTCGCTTCTACCATCTACAGGCATGTTCAGTTTCTTGTCAAGATGCTACGTCGTTGGCACCACAGAAGTTAGTTAGACATATTACGGGTCAGCTTGTCCTACGGGTTCTAATCTTCCATATCTTTGAATTCACTTCCCACTGAAATACCACTTATCTACCTCACGATAATCTTTTTATTCACGCACTATTATACTCTGTTTTATCTCAACTACATGAGCCTTTATTAAAGCTAAAACTTACCCTGGTCATATTTGAAGAATAGTAACATGGAAATATATGAATGTTTAGTGGACATTTCTCCAATGGTTGTCGAGAATTTCATGAACTGATCCCAAGTTTTGATTTGACCACCCCAACCTCTCCGCCATCTAAACCTATATCAACTGATATTGTCCGGAGAAGGCGTTTACATGTGTCCTAACCATATCATTCAACAAATTCATGACCTCATCGGCTGAATTATCGTCTTTGTCCAAAACTCTAGGCCTAACCCCAGTTTTACTAACCACATCATACCCCTAAACAGAGGAGATCGGACAGACACCTGTAGTGTACATTGTACCTCCGAACTTTTGCTTGAACGAACTCATCTGACCTTTAACCCCTCTTCCACTTTGGATTCGTGGATCTCCTGTATGGTTTCGGTTTCGCCCTCTCGCTGTGCTTTCGTCCAGCACACTCTCCGAGCTTACCACCGTCTCAACTGCAGATAAGTGTATACACTCTTATTCTTTATCAAATCTCATATTGCTTTTGTGTAAATATAACTCTGTTCCAGTCACGCTAGTTATCTCAAGTCTTTTTACCTTGATTCAGTTCGTTAGTATTTGCGCATTAGGCAGAGTACAATTAAGGTCATAAAGCGGTGAAGAAGTTTTTGTAAGAGTGGCTAATTTAGGTCTAAGTTAACCCAAGTCTAACTCTTACACACCTGTGACCTGACTCTGCTGGACTTCCAGAAGAAGTGTCTGCTAACTTTCGTTTGTACAAGCTCAGAAACTCCTCAAGAAAGCGTTAGTGCTGGTTTAAAACCATCCATCTTTAATCAGTGAATTTGAAAACTGAATAAGTGATCATTTAACAACAAGTCAGTGTACGTGACAGTGAAAACATGTCATAAGGATGTACGTTACATATTAACATGTGGCAGCTGGTGGCGAAGTAAAAGTATCATAACCAATTCAAGGTCCTTCAAAAGTTTACTTTCAAGAAGCGCTCAGATACAAGGAATACTATTAAATGTCCTTCTAAATCAAATCATGCCTGCACTTCTGAACTTTTAGAGGCTGACGGTATTGACGTTCACGGATAGTATGAAGTATACTAACGCAAGATCTAATACCCACAATTTCTGTGGTATTCATTCTACGTAGACCAAAAGCAAAGCAGAACACCACAATTGACCGTCCAAATTACGAAATATATTTCGGAACCAAATCGGAGTGCGAGATGATTGCTCAGCTAGCTAGTGATCGTGCACGAACGTGACACGACGGAGTACCAAATAGTGTGGATGTTTTACCGGAAGTCTTCAGCTGAACAAGTTGACTTCAGCAGTGAGGGTCAGTATCCAATGTTCAGTGATGAGTGCTGTGGTCAATAATTTTGGGGAATTATTTACCGCTACAAACTTGTAGAGGGTAGATACTTTGTTCTACTTATTCTGTACATACTTTTTCTATAAATCTCTACTGTTAAGTAGGGTTACGGCTTTTAAGGTTGAGGTCTAGGGATTAGGGTTAAGTTTAGGATTAGGAGTTGAGGTTATGGTCACAGTTGGGAGTAGGGTGAATGATAATTTCAGAAATCACAACGGACCTCAATGTACCATGACTTACACTTGGCTGAATGGATATATAACTCATGGTACGACTTCTCCATGTGTAATCTGCGTATTGACTTGTAGAGATTCTTATGACACATAAGCTACAACTATACATTGTAGCATCACGTTTGCAATATTTTCAGAGCATTTTTCAACGATTTTGCGACTTTTTTTATTATGAGTTCTGATAAGTTGCTTTAACTTTACCCAACTAACTTCAGTGCCTAAAATTGTAAAAAATTCAAGTTATTTTACACTGAGTTGATTAGACTTTGCGTAAGACTTTAAGTGCAGCTTGTCAACGTATGCTTCTGCTTAGACCGCGGTATTGGACGTGAAGGTCATTGTAGGTCAGCGTTGATTTATCATTTATATGCTTATCTATAACTAGGCGTGAGTTGTCCCATTTTCTTGTGATGAGTTGGACAGAATATTCTCTTTAAAATACCCAATAGGTTTCTCTGTTTCCACACTAACAGATTTTCCATTAATAAAAAGGTCATCCCAATTAGGGTTATTTTCGGGGTACTTATTGCGTTCCTTCGAAATTTCCCTAATCGTTTTTCAGTTTGAACACTTTTGGATAGTGCGACTGAAGTTTCTTTCTTGGTAATACACATCAATCTCACTGAGAATTGGATTATTTCCACCAAAATTACTTGAATCTGTTAACATATTAGTGTAAAGTGCACTCTTAAATTAATTAAAATCAAATGTATTTTTCCGTACTTTTTTTTAGAACGTTCCTGTTGACTCTGGTCTAAATATATTGTCTGCTGTGCATAAAATAAGCAATTTTTGACTTTAAACTCTAATTTAAATTTTTAAAGGTAATTGAGGATGGATAAGGACTTGTCATCCTACTTTATGTGTTCGCCAATGTTAATATCGATATTTTTTAAAATTTCTAATGCGCCTCGAAGTATTTACTTTTTTTTCGAAGTACCCTGTAGCTAGATAGTCCCCTCTTAAGTGCAGTGTAGCTCTGTTGAAACGAGTTTCTTATAAGTTTCAGGTTAGTAGTAAGAACACAAGGCGTCATTATTGTCCAGAAGAATTTCGTAACTTTATGCATTTCATACTGAATGCTTTCCTGGCAGCTGTACAGTCTAGTTGGGGAATTTAGTTAATTGCGGGCTACTCTACCAGTTCACACTGCATTCCACGTATAATGATACTAAGTCATGTTAATATGATGTATCCATTCCACAGAGAAACTGCTGTCGCTTCAATAATACGTGTTTCCTCAAAGTGAATTAAGAGTTAACATTACTTCAAAATGTCTGATTTTATTTTTCATCTCTCTGTTAAAAACTTTAAATATTGTTTGATTGCTCTTAATTATGTTACACCAGTATGTTCACTTTATTTCTAACTGTACATCTCGCCTCTAATTCCTTTCAGCCTCTTATTTTATGATAGCAAAATATCTCCACCAGGGCATACATTTGTTGATACTTCCTCAATAAGCAGTATACCTTTAGTCTGCATGAAAGTGTGAAGTTAACAAAAAATCACACATCAGTGTGAGACAAATGTTTAACAATTTCATATTCAATGAGACTACTTAATACTTTCGTTCGTGCGAAGCTATTTTCAAGATGGCGTTACAAGTTATGTGTTTTAATGTACTTGATTATTGGAGTACTCTTCGTTAATCTGTACTTGGTAAACTTTTCAAGCCGAGTTGTATACATCCATCCTGATGAATTGATTGATATGGAACACTGTCGCCTAATGGAAAAGCAAGGTATTTTTACAATATGGACTTCAAATATTTCTAGTTTGTTGCCCTAGTGCGGATTATCTGGATATGTCGAAGTTTGACTCTGTCGATTTTAAAAACTATTTAGAGATAATTAATACCACTAAACAGGTTTGTGAAGGAAGCTGGAAACCGAAATGTTCTTCCTCACAAAAGGTAGCTGTCATTATACCTTATAGAGACAGAGAGAAACACTTGAAACTATTACTACCAAGACTTCACGCCCTATTGCTGAGACAAAATATGCCATATTATGTCTTTGTAATCGAACAAGTAAGTATTGTGGTTTCTTATTCGTGTTAGTGAAAGAATATATATTCTCTAAATTCCAAATATGATTTCTTTGTTAGAGTTGTTAAAACATACTTTATTGGCTTATCAAAGCAGAACTATTCGCAGGAGTACCTCATTTAAAGTTGTCACCCTTCGAATAAGTACACATAAAAGTATGGAAAGAAGGATGAAACTCAAAATGGAATAAATTTTTACATTCGTGCTGAGTTTTCACCAAAAATTAGTTCACTAAAGCTTATATAACTCCGAAATAAGCGAGTTGGCTAGCGAATCCATCCATTTTACTCCATATTCTTACGCTAGGTGTGTTTTCAGAACCAGTCCTACTGCTTCGTCGTATATTGAACAGGAAAGAATCGTGTGATTTATTGTCTGATTGACCTTGAGGCATTAATTAAGTGTTTATTAGTAAATAACTTATATTGTACTGGATCCATTCTGTGCAGTTTATTCTCATTCCTTTTGATTATTTGACACTTGTATGCTTATCAGACTGTCTTTGTTGTCCAGAATAAATCATAATTTATACCTCTGTCACTAAATTAATAACTGTCTTTTTAAAATTTATGCTTCGAAATGACCAGTTACTATGGTAAAGTATGTAATTTATTCTATAAAGTTAGTAAAATTAAAACAACAACACCAACTATCTGTGTCACACTCGTCAAATCGTTAAAGAACATTTACACTTGAGAATATCAAACAAATAAGAATAGTGTTTAATTGGCAGCTTTGAACTATTTCCCTGTATTCCCTGTCAGCTAACGTTTATTTTAATTCTACAAGTAATTGTGAATTCTTATCGTAATGAATAACATTTATGTTTAGTAGTCAAATTATGTTGTCTTGTGCATAATTCACATATTTTGTCTTAAAAAGTGCTTATACAGCCTTACTGTGCTGATAAATATAGAACTTTTTTCTAGTGCATTTTTATCAGATCAAGTCTATGGGTCTTGTAAACACGCAAGCCGATCCTCTTTGCCTGAAATGTTATACCATAATATAATATTGCTGTTCCAGGAGGTGCGATCATGCAGAAAGATAACTTGTGAGTTCACTTCAATCAGTTATTATCAATATAGGAAGCAGTGTTATTAGTTGACTTTGTCACAACTCGTATTTACATGACGGACAAACAGTAATGGAAACGGAGACAAAGAAATCAAAATAGGGTTATCGAATTTTGTAAGACGCTGAGATTCCTGACTGACTGATTTTTAACGCATAACTTTTCAAAAAATTGTAGCAGTTCAAGTTGCTACCCGTTATATGCACATAAATGTGAAGAAGAACGCACTATAATGAACAGAAATATGCTGTCCGTCTGTCTGTCTGTTTTCGACATAGAACTTTGCACAAATGTGCGGCAGTTCAAGTCGCCACATTCCATGTAGCACACAAAGCAATAGAAGAAAGTAGGAGAAATGCATAATAGAGACAGTAAGTTGAGGTGTGAGACAAAGTAGTAGTAACGGAAAACGATATAGTTTCATTGGGAATTATAAGTCACAAGGAGTGGATGCATCTGCGCCATTGAGAACGATTCTGAGCCATGTCATCAATTGTTTCCAACCATTGGTTTTTATCGTCCCGAGGACCCCAACCAGGAAATCTACACCTTCCTACGTGGCCTAGACTAACTGTTGTAGATTTCATTGAATGGTGCCATGTTTTAGTTTGACCGCCGCTAGCTCTTTTCCAGCCTGACCCTATATCAGCTAACATTGCCCGTTGTCGAGGAAGGCGATGACTAGGCATACGTAACACATGTCCTAACCATCTCAGTCGATGTAATTTCACAGCCTCAACAGAAATATGCAAGAAGAGAAAGTACGTGGAGAATAGTGGCAATTTAATAACTTTGAAAGTTCATCAAGGGTGAATGCATCTACCCTATGGAGGACGATTTTGACCCATTCACCAATATTTCCCAACCAAATCGCAATTAAGATGAAAAAGACGAGATTAATACGTCTGCTTTACTCAAGTCAATTTTGACTCATATCATATTCTCTAGGTTAGACAATGTAAATCCCTCAAACTAATAATCAGTAACTCCATGAATCGAATCAGTGGTATTTTTCTGACTCGTCTACTCTTCTTTTTAATCTGACCCACTCCTGTCTTTATTTTTGTTTTTTTAAATAAGGCTGGGAAAACACCTTTCAACCGTGGTCTGCTTCTTAATGTTGGAGTTTTACATGCGTTGGATATTGATCCGAGTATAAATTGCTTCATCTTTCATGATGTTGATCTTTTGCCTGAAAAAAGTGAAAATCTTTACATCTGCGACACAGAATTACGACACTTATCCCCTGCTATTGATGACTTCCGATATCATCCACCATTCATAAACTATGCAGGTGGAGTCGCTGCAATGACGAAAAAGAACATACTAAAGGTAAGAAAAGAGACTTTCTGAATTGTAATAGACACTTTTGTATTACACACTATTTAAACACAACCTTTATAAAATACGACTAGACAAAGTGTCTAAAAGTGAAGTTCTCTTAGAGACTTATATAACTAGTCTGTTCATAAAATGTTGTGTAATAAATAAGAAACGGATTGCTGCATCTATTGAATTATTTCTATTCTGTAAAGGCAGACTGCATAGCTGACTGAGGTTATCCTCTTGAGATTAGATCCAGGGTAATAGTTCGCGTAACATTCCACTTTAATTTGTTTTATCCTCCTCAACTGAAAAGAAATCAAAGGAAATCAACCACTCGGAAGTTAAAAAATGTGACTTAATGTGCAGTATATATCATGATTTATATGTGAATGTTGCTCACTAGCAGGATAACTTTACAGGACTTGTGTAAAATTCACGATAAGTTTATTTGGTTGTTTGTAACTTTGATTATGAGAAATAGAAGTCGTTGTTTCTGGACATCATCTGTAATCGAATAATCCTAGTGTATCACTGTGGATTGTTTCAAGTGAAATTGTTCTGTTATGGAATATCGCTCTATCAAAGTGCGCAAATTTTACCCTCAAGTTAATTTTTATTTGCATTAGAAGTGTAAATAAACAGATTTTCCTTTTGGTAATAGAAGACATCAGCAAGTGATGTGATGATAATACAGTTGTACTAGGTTACATAGCCCCTAAGGTACTGCGATCATGTTACACTGTTTGCTTCACGATTTCTGTAAAATTTACTACTATAGTAGATGATGCTAAACAATACATGCCTTATCTCCTTCTGAATTATTACAGTTTAACTTACTTTTAAACTGATTGTCTTTTAAGGTAATTGTTTTTCTATTCTCTTCTATTCAACCGCTTATATATTTGCCACAGCAGTTCGCTGCGTCCTCCTTTATGACTGTGAGCGAGATATAGCCATTGTAAATGGATGAGATGAAAAGGTTAGCTGTCTTTGATCATAGGTGCCTGCTTTCTATCTCCCGTGTGAACTGGTATAGTAGGGTAAGCAATACTGAGGTTAGGCGTCGAGTGCTAGGTAAGGAGGGGAAATCAATTGACGAGGCTGTAAAGCTACATCGACTGAGATGGTTAGGATATGTGTTACGCATGCCCAGTCATCGCTTTCGTCGACGGTCAGTGTTAGCTGACATAGGTTGGATGAAGTTGGAAAAGAGCTGCTAGTGGTGGTCAAACCAAAACATGGCTTCGTAGGTCAGTGAAATCCACAACAGTCAGTTTAAGCTAGCCGCATAGGGAGGTGTAGACTGCTTGGCTGGTTGGGGTCCTCTTGATGGTAAAAGCCAATAAAGTCTGGAGACAGTTGGTGATATTAGAGAGAAGAGAACAAAAAGTTCAACTAATATATCCTTTCGGAGATTTCATTCTCAAAAGCTGTACAATCACATATGTATAAATAAGTTTATATAGATACTATTGTTATTTGATTCCATGTAGAAACGAAGGTGGTTAAAGGTCGTGATAATTTTCAACCTGACTTGAAAGTTTGAAGGTGTGAATATAGATTACAAGGGCCCTAGAGACAAAATTACTTAGGATTAGAAGTCAGTTACAATGTTTATGTAAAACAAGTTTTTTATTGATATTTTGATAACTGGAAAAATAAATTGATATAAAAGTTCAAGGGTGTGAATACAGGTTACAAGGGGCTTGTAAACAAAATTATACAGGATTAGAAAATAGTTTTTCTTAATGACTATAGGTGTGAATGGGATGGAAATGGGAACAAATTGAAAGAATAATATTTTGAAATTGAAAATGAAAGAGGAGAAGGGGATGAAAAACGAGACCTAAAGACACAAACCGAACTAGTTCCATGGTAAATATGGAGGTTGAATCAGTTTCTTGTGAACACACAGCTTCGGTTTTTCTATGCATATGTCGAGGACTCCTGCAGTACAAAAAAGTCGGAAACACACTGCCTTTGGTGAACTTTTATTTACTTTGCAAATGACTCCGAATGATGAATCAGTTGAGATGCTGTGACAGGTGTCGATGACGTGTTCACTTATAGCGCTCCTGATTGAACCAGTGCCTCCTCTTTGCAGCCAAGCTAGGTGATGTTCTCTAACACGTTTTGATAGGATCCACATAGAACGACCTATGCACCTAGCTCCACATGAGCAGGTGAACTGGTATATCCACATTGAAGTGGTCATATGCGGAAGTTCATCTTTCACATTGCTTCGAAGCAGTGGGTGGTTGGAGTATCTCACTCTTAGAGTCGCTGCAGGAAAGGTTTTCTTCAGGGAATTGGAGATCCTCTTTTTAAGAGTATCTGTTGCTGGGTCTCCCCTGAATTCCAGATTAAAATATAATATTTTCTGTGGCAGTGAAGTTCATTCTTTCCTTTTTGGCCTTAATTTCATGTTCTTCTCCATGAAACTCGTTTGGTATCCAATTTGAGCCAGGATGTTTTTGAGAAATAGAAGCTCTTCTTCTAAGCATTCATCACTACAAATTCTTCTGGGCCTGCGAGATGATGTGAGCTCTTTTCCGACTGATGGGTGTCCAACTGCAGAAGTTTGTCAGTTGGCTATTCCATAATGGTTTTCTGTGGATAGCCGTTTCAGAGTTCTATCAACTCTTCTTGTCAATTTGACGTCCATAAATGGAATCTTTGATTCATTTTCAACTTACATTGTGAATTGGTGATATAGCTGATAATCATTCTCAGTGGCGCAGATAGATTTACTCTTTGTGATTTGTCATATTCAACAGAACTCCCTCGTTCTTCCATTTTACTATTCTTTTCCCTCACACTTCTGTTTATTATCTCTCTCTGTGTTTTGAATCTCCCTTTACTCTGTTCTCTTGATTTTTGTGCTACGTGGAGGAAGAGTGGCAAGTTGAACTGGTGTACATCTATGGAAGTTTCAATGTTGAAACCAGTCAATCCGTCCGTCAGTCAGAATGAAAATAGGTAGGCATTCAAAAAGTGTTCACTGCAATGTATTAATTTCAGAAAGAGAAAGGTGATCAATTGTATCTTGAGTCATTGAATCACATGATCTCTTGTACTTCACTCGGGTAGTCAATATCAGTGTGACAAACGAAAGCTGCCTTAGCTAGTCTAATCAATAGGTTTCTTTTTCGTCAATTTTTACCTAAAATGATTCTCATTCACATGATAAAACGTCATAATGTCATCACTGATCCTTTTTTTTGTATTGGAAAACATATAGATAAATGGATTTCCAACACGTCATTGGGGTTGGGGCAGTGAAGATGATGAATTTTCAGCGCGTGGTTTAATCTATAATTTAAAGTTAACTAGACCCCCGGAATCTATTGGACGGTATAAAGCCCCGAGACATCAAAAAGGATCTATATCTATTGGACATCAAAGTGCATTTTTACAATTTCGTAATTACTTACATGATGGTTTTACTCTTTTAACAGAGAAATTTTATCATGATTGGAAGTTAGAATCATTACGTCGTCAAACTAAAAAGTATACATTGAATAAATCAGAGAAGTTTAAAATTCCTGCCTTTTTGAATGAATGTACGCGCCAAAATATCCTGTCCCGTTTAAATATTAATATGAATTCAGTAGAAATTGTACATAACCTTAGTACGATATCTTCGTCTAATATTGAATTACTCAATCAATTTGCTCGTGATGATTTATTCATTCACTTTATATTTGATCCAGTTGACTTTTATATTCAAAGTAAGTCATTATTGAAACCGAAAGGTAATCATACAGTTGAATCATTATGGTGGTTTCTTCACTTTTATGGATGGATATGAGGTGTATATTTATTTATTTATTCATCTGTCTTTTTGAAGAGTAAAAGATCAATTTTGTTTTGATACTTCTTCTTGTACAGTAACTTCAATATTTATTCACCTTCTTTTCTATTCTTCCTTTTTGTGTACTTTGTAATTATATTCTAATTTGATCGATTTTGTGTATTTATCCCCATACTAGCTAACACCCAGTGGTGGTGGTGGTGGTATGTAGTAAGGGAATATACTCTTGGAGATTTAAGTAGACCTTTTGTCTTCAAGCAATGTATTCAACTGAAATCCTGTCTCTGTACACAATATGTTTATATAATTTGTAAAGGAATTACTTATTTTGGTTATTGTTCTTCTTGATAGTTATTAGTATTATTCCTTTAGGTTCCGAGTGGAATATAGGGCTTCAAACTCGCTTCTTCATTTGTTTCCAGTTGGCCTTTTGTCTCCGCCTCACACGATCTCCTTCAGTGTCACCCTCGGAAACACACACCGAACTTGTCGTTTTATTTTTAGGTTCCTCTAGAGGACGTGACGTGAGATATCATTGCATGGTTTCCTCAGTGTGTGTGTGTGTCCTATCAATCTGCATTTTCGTTGGTATATATTTTTTGAGCAATGGATTCATGGTTGGTTCGTTGGTTGCTCTGGCAGAGTTCCTTGTTACTAATTCTTCTTGACTGACCATCTGATCTCTTCAGTGTGGAGTCAGCGAAGGTGGCAGCTGTTGATAAAAGTCGAGAGCTTGTTCAAAATGCTCTCTTCGTGACACCAAGTCTCAAGACGACAGTAAGTGTCCTTTTCAGTTGATGCCATGTTTAATTTGATCATCTCACATTTTTTTCCACACCATCTCAGGGGGAATAGCATCAGTCACTAGGATGCAGGTGCACTTAGCTGACAAGTTCTATATAAAACGGAGTGCGCTTTCTCGATTCCACTATTAACTATTATCAACCAAGTGATACTTAGAGATTATTTTAAGAAAGCACACGTTAAATGATCACGCGTCGGTGGTGCAGTGGTGGAGCGCTCAAAAACGACGCCTCATGTGTTCCAGGATTCGATTCTGGGTCAATGCACTCCTGAGCCTCGCTTAGACGGCAGTAAGCCCAGTGAAAAGGGAGGGTTGGGCATGAGGCTAACAAATCTACCCCGTAAAAATAAAACCGCTGTTACTGAAACTTCGAATTAATTAATTTTATTTAAACAAAATAACTTGGCACAATATAGCACCAGGAAGATGCGTAACACAATAATAATAAAACAAAATAGATTAAAAGTAAAGATGTAAGTAGAAAACGGATAAAGAACTTCATCTGGAAGGAAAACAGTCATATTTAACAAGTCCAAACAGCATTCGTCAATTATCATCGGGAAGGGAAGAAAGAAGGAAATTGCAGCACGTTCGCTATTGATTGCGATTCTTGGCCGTATCCGATAACGTCTCAAACCACTGATTCAAACTATCTCTTGGACTCCAGCCAGGTAGTCGTAACGCACCAACCGATGCTAATTTACCACAATCATCCTTCATCTCACGATGCCACATCATGGGCTGACCATCTCTCCGCTTTTCTCATCCAATCCCAGGGCTAGCGAACAGAAACTTGTACGGAAGCCCCTCGGATAACATTTGCAGCATATGTCCCAGCCACCGAAGCCGGTGTTACCAGATGATAACACTCAACAAATGGTGGTCTCCACTGTGTCCACCGGACCTCAGAATTACTCATGCGATGATACCATCGAACGTAAGCAGTCCTGCGGAGACAGCGATGGTCGAATAAGCAGAGTCACCACACATCCTCAGCTCGGAGAGGCTAGGTTACACAGGCGTAGAGCAAGACAGCCCGCACCGAAGTATTGTATACCCGACCTTTGACAGCCAGGCTGACATCGTGATGGTGCCAGAGATGGCGCAATTTAACGTATGCCACCCTAGCTTTCATGATGCGGTTGGAAATCTCATCCGTCACCCCTCGAAACTTCAAAGCTCAAGTTTGAAGCTGTATGCTCCGTTCGTAGCGCAAACGAATAAAGAAACTCACTAAACAGTCAATAGCAGATACAATAATACTAGGAATGATTAATATTAAGAAGCGATTCTTCCTCTGTTACATATATTTATCCAAAGTGTAGATTTAATAACATTGTTTTTGAAAACAATAATTCGACTGAAAAGTATTCAGTTATAAACAAAAGTAAAAGAAAATGATATTAATAAAGTTTAATATAAACAAAAAAGGGTGTATAAATTAATTGATTTTTATACAGGGCGACCTTTAATTCATAAACTATATATAATTCACCTGATTAAAGGAAAGAGTTACAATCTAGTAAGTATTTTCTCATTGGGTGTAACTGTAAATGGTGAAAATACAATCATATTTGTTTCGATGATTGAAACTTCTATTATATTTATTTATTTATTTGTTTATTTTGCGTGACTGGCCATACTGTAACGGTAGGAAACAAAGACTTGGTAAAGGAATGTTTATTTGCAATTTGGTATCTCTGTATAGCCAAATTATATGCGCCTTATATTCAACGCATCATTTGCACACATCTTCCGTGTTGTGCTACTTCTGGCTTCCTTTCATATTGTGTTTCCTTGTGTTGCTTTCACGTCTCCCATGTATCTCCACAACAATGTATCCATTTGCTTCTTCTGACATCAAATGTATCTCCCTGCTATTTGATATTTTTATGCCGATGAACATCTCCTCATATACTACTAATAAATCTTATCAGTAGTACACGCCACAATACGATGTCATAAATCGACAACAATCTCTGTGTCTTCATGAAGCCATGCTTAGAAGTGTTTCTTTAACACTAGTCTTAATGACTCATGGTGATAATTAGATCTAACCGAAACCTAAGCTATGATGAGATTCGAATCAGAAGGCTACTAATTTTTGATATACTGACTGAGATTCTCTTAGCTTAGCAGATATGAGATCTTAAACGTTGTCGTTTTGAGTCCTTCAGTCACCACACTAGTGTTTGTTTTGTTATCCATCTTGTTGAGGTTGTTTGACTTGGATGATGACCAACTGTGCTACAGAAATATAAACAGCGGCAGTAAATATTTACATACACACGGACACACACATTTTGCATTAGATTACTTACTAAGAATGAAACAGCTTTTCAGTGGCTTATGAGTACAATTCACACTAATGAATTTACCAGTTGGTTTTACTTTCATTCCTTTGCGTTTCGAGCAGTGTGAAGTTGTTAACCTCATATACAATATTCCCTCTTTAATGGGCCTGCTATCGACTGAGAGAGGTTGGGGAGTGCGTTGGCTGAGGATTGAACCCCGGACCAAGTGGGAAGTGGTTGGCGAGCATTCTACCGCTGCAGCACCAATATAAAGCGTGATGCAATAAGAGATTAATTTTTTATGAAGTTAAATTCTAATAGGTGCGACGAAAACTATGAAACCCCAAGTAAAAGTTATATGGAGAATTCTCAAACTATTCATATCAAAGAACGAAAGCAGTAGGACCGACTTCTGATCAAATCTTAGTTACACTTCAATTACTGAGGTAAACATTTAAACCTTGTCGGTATCTAGACTTCATCTGGGTTGGTAAGGCTTGCTGTTTGAAGACCAACGGCTCCTTGTATGAAGCAAATTAAGCCTTGACTGCAGCTTAAAGCCTTTCATTACTAAAACAACATTTTCTGTAGTTTGTTTTGTAAGGGTTAGTTTTGTTTTTTTACGAGTTGATCACGGACTGATATCAGTTAGAGAACCATTGAAAACCAGGGAGTACTGGACAGCTGTTTCGTTCTAGTTTGGGAATCATCGGCAGGACGCACCCACCACCAGGATTCGAATCCAGAACCTTCCGGTTACAAGGCAAGCTAGTATACCATCAAGCCACTGGGACCCGATTCAATGGCCAGCTCATGAATTCCAACTTCTACCAATTCGTGATTCAGCGCGACCCCACCCAATGTCGTCGGTGGGACATCCATCCTCACACGTGACATCTGGATGGACCTCATTGGTCACGAATTCTCACTAGAACTCCAGGAAACTCCATCCTGTAGGAAGTCACTAGCGAGCATCAGATTAATTTTCTGTAGTTTGTTTTGTAAGGGTTAGTTTTGTTTTTTACGAATAGAAGTTAGAATTCATGAGGCATTGAATCGGGTCCCAGTGGCTTGATGGTATACTAGCTTGCCTTGTAACCGGAAGGTTCTGGATTCGAATCCTGGTGGTGGGTGCGTCCTGCCGATGATTCCCAAACTAGAACGAAACAGCTGTCCAGTACTCCCTGGTTTTCAATGGTTCTCTAACTGATATCAGTCCGTGATCAACTCGTAAAAAACAACATTCATTTAGGGGTGTGAAATACAGACTATGAGGGATCATTATTCAAATTTAGTCTGTTTAATTTATAGAATAAACAGTGTGGCGGTGAATAATTCCAGAAAATTATTAGCTTATACCTTTTATTGAACAGAGCATAGAATTGCAGATAAATCTCTACCTCAGCTTTATCGATTCTGAAAAGGCCTTCGTCAGCGTTGACCGTGAAGTAATTTGGAAACTGCTTCAACACTATGGACTGCCCCAAAACTTTATCAACAGAAATATAGCAATGCTACGTGTCAAACGATTCACAATGGAAAACTCAGTGAAGCCCCTAACATGCAGGTATGAGTAAGACAAGAATGAATACTGTCACGGATAATACTGCTTATTGTGGTGGACTGGATCATGAGGAACACTTTAGGGTGAGAGAACAGAAGCATACATTGGTCCGACAAGAAGACTTTAGAAGATATCGACTTCGTGGATGATTTACGTCTACGATCACATAAACACAAAGATCCACAGACAATAATCAACACGTTGGCAGAAGAAGTAGCGAAAACTGGACTTCAAGTGACCACAGGGAAGACGGAAGTGATGAGGATATCTAACCACCAACGCCAACAACAAACACTAGTCATTATAAACGAAATAAATTTGAGTTGGGTCACTTCTTTCACTTTTCTAGGTACCATCGTTTCAACGACAAGCAACAACGCCGATGAAGATATCAAAACCAGAATGAGAAAGGCAAGACAGACCTTTATCACCCTGAAATCGGTCTGGAAATCTACTTTACTAAGCATTAGAAACAAAATTCTGATTTTTACACC